TAAGTGCAAAGCAAAAACAATGCTTCAAATATCATTCATTTGGCTTTCGGAAAACGCATCACACAAACCAATAATTTCCTATTTTGTTCTCTATGCTATCTACTGGCAAAGAGTGTTTAGAATTTTTCTTTAAAGAGAAAAAATCTGACACTTCTTCTAAATATGTTTAACTCTCATGGATTCTTTCTTTCTTTTTTTTTAATTTCTGAGGTTTTTATGATGTCGATTTGGGGTTAGTAGAGACAAACTCCAAATAACACGTAACAATAAAAAGGGTTTTAAGAGGTTGGTAAAATGGTACAGAAATCGTCTGAGTAATCAATAACTAGCTCAGCTAAGAACTTCTCTGTCTATCTATCTTCCCCATGTCAACTGACATGCCACTGTTTAAAGTCTTTGTTCACAGACAAGTTCATCTTCAAGAGGGGTGGTAGGTTTCCGACACAACAGAGGTCAACCACTATCTTTATATAATGAGATCTAATATCCTCATCTGTTATAGTCACAAAGTTTCGACCGTTGGACTTTTTGGTTTTCGTCAGATCTTTGGCATATTTGAATCACACCACATCAAGATACTACTACTGTTTTGTAGCGCTATTTCTTCTATCAGCTGTTTTCGAACACTTTCAATCTCTATCTATAAAAGGCAGGATGTGTGTGTGTGTGTGTGTAGGTAACGAATGCACGGCCGCAATTTTCGACGGATTTGCACCAAAATTTACATGCACATGCTCCAATTTAGCCGGAAGGCCAAGACCGACTTTGCATTTCCCAACTCCCATCGATAGTGGAAATAATCGATTTTTTCATGCTTCTACGGCAGTTTTCATGTAGTTTGCGACCATTTTGTACTGGCCAGAGTGAGAGCCTATAGCTGGATGCCACAAATAGGCAGGAAGATTCTATTGGCCAGCGTGAGAGCCAACAGCTGACTGACACGAATGTTAACTAGCATGCTAGCATGCAAAAAAATCGATAGCTGCATTCGTCACAAGTGGGAAAAATTTAAATCTGCATGGCACTTTACTCCAATTGGCTCATTCGCTTGCTTAAACTCAACGTTGATTCTGATTCCGCAGAACTGGGTTGTGATAATCTATTTGTTGTTAACATTCTTTTTTCATTCGGTTTTTCCAGTTACGAGTCCTTTTTTTAAAGTTGATCGTTTTGTGTTCATTTTGTTTAGTTCTTTTTTCGTAACAGATTTCATGTTTAATATAGAGCTTAGAAAAATTCGCAGTGTGAGATAGGCAAGAAGTAAGGCATGTAGCAACATCAGCACGGCAAAGGGCACTCCTTTAAAGGCAACGAAGGGCAAAAATAATTTAAGTCAAGTGATAGCGATTGCTGTATGAGTCGTACGATTTTTGAATCAAGCACAGACAACGCCGGGCCATGCTGCAAGTCACTGATAAAGCATTTCTCCAATGTGTACTGGAATTACTTCTTGAAGTGTGAAGCACAAACACCATATGCTTATCTATAACAAATTAAAGTAGAAAATGCTAACAGTGGCGTATAGTGATTTTTCAAGCGTAGCTTTGATGTGGCACAAGGCCAAACTATGGGTTACACAGTGAAGATCTACCTCATTATTCAGTCCTAATTGTTCTAGAGAGACTAACTTGTTAAACATTACATCGCTTCGAGGTACCCCTGAAAGTGTATGTAAGAGACTTGTGTGTTTTATACTCTGTTGGCTGTTTGTGTTTCATTTACATTTCGCTTGGTTTTCGTTTAATTCATCTTTTTCTTACTAATAAAACAAAAAGGAAGACATGCGCAGAATCAGAAGTGACAGATCAAATTCCTCGGTCGAAATAAGGAAAGAGAGTTTGCAAAACTTAAACCCCACAGGGAATATTCATAGCAAGAGATATAAGGGAAGACAGCGAGCTACCTACTTGAGGAAGTTGTGTAAATAGATATGCGGTACAGGAGAGAACCTAAGCAGAAGGAGAAAAATTGCTATGGACTATAAGGAATTAGACGTTATGAAGAGCCATCATAATCGATTTGCTGAAGGGATGCGACACATAGAAGAGGCAGAAATAACCATATACTGATCTACAGGTTATTTTAAATTTAGAGTCAAGAGTTTAGCTGTTTTCTTGATTCCCATGTAACTATCAGTAAACTTTAAAATTGGCCTGTCCACTAGCTTAACTTTGCTTGATTAGGGATGGCCAACATTTATTTTAAATACGATTATTCCTCAAGCGGTCGAAATTTAGCTAACCTTCCTCGGTGGCAGGATATTTCCTCCTAGTCAACTTACTGCGGCGTACCCACAAGAATACATGAAGAAAAAGGATACCCAGTCCTTGCGACCAATGTCCTGCTGGAATAATCAAGTAAGATAGGTTCTAGAACTGGTTTAGCATTCTTTGGTCTAGGCCTCTTTCAACACATCATCGGCTTATGGCCATATCACGTTGAAACACCAGTTCCCGTACTATCACCGAAGCAAACTCGAGCCTGGTCCGTACCTAGATGCGTAATTATCTGGGAATACCATCTGCAGTAAGATTAGATGGTGTAATGGATAATGGCTCAGAATTTTTAATGGAGCAGCCATGTTTCAATTTCAGTTGGGTTCGTTATATTCACTTATGTGACAATATTCTTAGTAAATAGATGACTATCTCTACCGCCCACGTCTATGGGTTAATCAGTAAGACTTGTACCATTAAAATCATTATCTCCTATCAAAGAAGTTTTACAATCTAAAAGTATTTTCTGGCTTTAAATAACCATAACCCGCAACTGTTTGATAAACAATAAAAAAAAATACGTATCATTCAAATCAAATCTATACAGGACCAGAATTCAGAAACATGGTAAAAAGGAGGAGAACAGATACTACACTTTCATTCAGTATTTACCCACTTCGTAAAAAATTACATATAGGACAAGAACAAAATTTCCCCCTTCTCCCCACCGCTATCATGCTGGCATTGATATCTACCAATGTTCAAGCTTTAGGACTATGAAGGAGGTATTGCCGCATTTTTGGGATCTCTAGATCTTTGTTTCTCTCATGATAAAAACTGTAACTGTCTGAACACAGAAACACTGTAAAGAAGTGAAGAACAGATACTACACCCTAATCTGAGCCCAGACGTCGTGAAAACGTGGAAGTCATCTTCCTACGCTGGCGGTATATTTACACTAAGTCAGTTTAATGTTGAGGAGCTTAAATACAGGCAAAGGACAAAAATTACCTCGTTCTCACGGGCAGTTACATTGGTGTCGGTAACTACGGACCCACTATTTGCGTAATACGGGAGGTAGTGCTTCAGATTTAGAATCCACGGTGCATGGAATCTATCATTATAGAACTGACAAGTATCTAAAAGTAGATACACGGCAAAGAAGTAAAGAATCCAACCTGCATTCTGATACCAGCCTGAAGGCCGGAAAGAACGGGATCTGATAATATTTCTTTTTCGTCATGAACCATGTCCCTTCAGGGCATAGGTGATAATGGCTCTCCACAATTTCCTGTCTTTTGCAGCTCTTAATAAATTTTCTCTTTTTGTTCTCTCTCCTAAATTCTGTTCCGCCATCCATTTAGTCAAACTCACTAAGTAAGGTATGAGTTTTTTCCAATGTCTTTTTTGCCTTCAATCTGTCCTGTAAGTATTAAATTTTCCAAGCCATTTTTCCTCATTATGCGTCCTAGTAATGTCAACTGTCTCTTCCTGGTTTAAAATGTTTCCTTAATGATTCCATTTTCACTAGAACTTCGTCGTTGCTCACATATTCGGTCCACGGTCTCCTCAGCATTTTTCTGTAGAAACACATTTCTGTTCCTTCAAGTCTCTACTTCATCTTTGGGGAGATTGTTCAGCATTCACTACCATACAGGACGATTGATATTACATAATATTTCAGGACTCTTTTCCCTATTTCTAACGAATTGTTCATGTTTCTTAATACTTTGCTTAGTTTTTAGAAGACATCTTTGGCTTTTCCAATGCGCCTTCGGTATTCAGTGCTCCGTTAAAACACTTCCCAGATATTTAATTATTTTTTTTACTTGTTTGAATTTAATATTTCCGATTTATAATTTGCATTTTGAGCTTAACCTTTTGCTAACAACCCTGCATTCCTTCTTCCTACAGTTGATGTTTAGTCCTTTCTTCTCGCTTTCCTTAACTACCTTCTGTAGGCATTTCTCTACGTTTCTTTCCGTGTCTGCTATCAACACTGTGTCATCTGCATATCTTATATTGTTATGTTTGTGGCTGCCCATAATGAATCCTGGTAGAACTTCCCCCAGAATCGCGCCGCTGTATAGGCTGAACAAGTCCGGCGAGAAGACACATCCTTGTCTTAGATCCCTTTCTATTTTCGAATGTCTACTGAACTTGCTGGTGAAATTCCACGGTGCTAGGATGTGATACAGGGTCGTTCTAATGTCGAATGGCGTGCATATAGACCAAAGATAAATTTGCCCAATCAACCCAACAACCATCGATATCTCCGCCCCCACCAAAAAAAAAAAAAAAAAAAAACACTTGAGGAAGGTGCTACCGCATTTCTCATAGCTTTAAGAGGAAAAGAGAACAGATGATAATGCCAGCCTGAAGCCCAGGGTGCGTTCAGTCTGCTTCCCAGCAATGCTAATGTGTTTGTTTAAAAAAAAAAAAACAAAAAAAAAACTCGTTGGCTGTTCAGCCTTGCTACAACATATTAAGATGGAATGAGGTTTATCGTTCCTGCTGTGAAAACGAAAGTTTCTTGCGTTTTTGGTGGTTCCAATCTAATAGGATTTTTTTCCCGGCCTTCCTATAAAGAATCTCATTTTTCTCCCTTCTGAAGAACCACCCTGACAGAAAGCACGATGCTTTGCCAATCTCACAGCAAAGAATTCATCCCCCACTTAACTCCTGTGTCACAGCTTTATTTTTATGTCTTTTATACCGTTACATTTTCTCAACCGTTGATGAGAGCATTCCGATAAATTCATCTTCGTCGTGCTTCGATGCGAAATGAATTGGGACTTTCTTGAATCCCTTTCGATTTTAGTCTTCGGCTCCCTCCCTCTCTTTCTTTCTCCTTTATTCGTTTCCCATTTATTTATATATATATATATATATATATATATATATATATATATATATATATATATATATTTTATTATATCTTGATAATGCTACACGGTGAGTTTTCTCTCTCTTTTTTTTCTCCGGCTGCTTTGGCCGCTTTTTTTTTATGTCAAATTAACGCTTTCAAAACTTCTTTATTTTTGTAATTGCATGTCATCGAGTCTTTGTCATCTCAAATTTCATTTCGTCCTCGATCAGCTTCTATCTCCATGTCTAATGCACGCATGCAAACACACACACACATATATACATACAATGACATAATTAGACACATGCAAATAGACTGACTCGTATATCAACACACACTGTTTCTTGTAGTATCTCTTTAGTTTTTGTTGCGTTTTTTCTTCTTTTAATCTTTTTTCTACCATTCGCTTTGGTTTTTCTTACGAAGCTAATCTTTCTCTCTCTCTATTGCTTTGTGGGGAGTTTTCACCTTCGCATTCTTTATTATGATATTCGTTTCGCCTTTTTTATTCTTTTCTCTTCATTCTCTTTCTTATTTTGCTGTTCTTTTCACCTTCTCATTTAATTCTTATCTTTCGACATGTTTGTTTTTTTCGCCTTACTATTTTCTTCTTTCCTGAGTTTTTTCGTCTTCCCATTCTATCTCTCTTTCCAAGATCTTGCCATTATCTGCTCTTGTTCCGACTCTCATTCTCTTCTCTTCCTCCGCCTTTTTTTTTTCGCCTTCAAACCTTCACGGCAAAGACACACCTTGCCGCTTACATAGTAACAGACCAACCACTGTGTTCCATCGGGGAGAAATAAGTTCCACTCAAACGGCTTCTTCCCACGAACCACTGCCTTGTGGAACCGACTCTCAAAAGGTTGTTTCACCGATCATTACAATCTTAATAATGTGCTTCTTAACGTAAATCTCTACCTCGAGTGGCTCCCAGGCCTTGTACACCTAGAACCATACTGTAAAAAAATATTTCGCTATTTAGCGTTGTATCCTATTATTGTAAACTTGATCGATATCAGAAGAAGCATATTATGATTGAAGTCTATGAAATAAAATAATGTTTCTGATCATCACACTATAATTACTGTCAGGTCCATGAACATTCTCTTTAATATTTAATAAGGATAGATCTTTATGGCACACGGCTACAATGGCGGGACACCTATACGACTTAGGTAAGAATATGTTAAAAATCGTGCCTTGGTCGGAGCGTCTTCTAATATCACTTCCGGTCTGTCTCTCTCTCAATTTCTCATCATAGTTATCTTCTCTCTATTGCTCTCCCACTCTCTCACATAATATGTGTCTCTCTTTTTTCTCTCAATCGCTCTTTCTTGATTGCTTTCTCTCTTTTTATCTTTCCTTCTCTTTTGCGTCTTTCAACTCTTTCGCATTCTTCTTTCTTTCTCACTCTCTCTCAGTCTTTCTCTTTTTCTATCACTATGTCTCTCCCTGTCTACTCTCTACCCATCTGACTTTTCCCTATTTGATTTCTTTTCTCTCTCTCGCTTCCTCTCTCTGTCACTTTTATTTCTCTTCTTCTCCATCTTTTCCTCTGTATCATCCATCTCTTTCGCTCTTATCCTTTTACAAACACCTCTCCCTTTTTCCCTTACTCGTCTCCTCTTTTCTCTCTTCCTTTTTCTGTCACTCTTTCATTCTTTCTTTTGATCCCTGTCGCTGTATTTCTTTTCTGAAACTATCCACTGCCTTAGCTTCGCCATCTTTTTCTCTCTGCCAATCTTTTTTGCTTCCTCTTCCTTATTTCGTTCTTTTTCTTCTATCACCTTTTCACACGCTCTTCTTTTCTCTCATTTTGCCCCGTATCTATCTCCTCCCTACCCATTTCCGTTCCCCTCTTGACCTTCGGCCTTTATTTTACTTCGGTATCTTTCAATTCGTTTCTTTTGTTGTTTTGTTGTCTTGACTCCAATATATTTTTAAATAAAAATAATTCAATCCCGCTCCCCACTTGTTTTGCCTTTTCTACGCCATTTTCATTTCCTCTGGAATCTCTTACGGCATTTTTCCCGCCTGTTCCGTTTTTCGTTATTTTCGGTTTGTCCCACAAATAATTGTTTCACGACTTTACTGACATCATGTCTCTTTGCTTCCTCGTTCGCTTTCCCCGCTAACCAATTCCTTTGTGGCTAGTCTCACATTTGCTCTTAAATTTCCGTCTTTTTCGGGGTGACGAAATAATTACGAACCAGTTTTATTTAAAATGGGGACAATTTACTGAATCTCTCAGATACCACTCGACATATTTCTCAAAAATGATCACCCGCTCTAGCTAAACAAAATATTATTAAATTGTTAAATATAGTATTAATGGTTAAAAATGGCTTCGAGCGAGACAAGCATGTCGGTTTTAACGGGGACCAGACTTCTTCTAGCCTCGTGGACTGGCGCTGCATAATCGCAACCAAAGACTTTTACCAAATAACAGAAACCCCATTACTTAAGGACTTTCAACAACAGCAAAAACTAAAAACGATATCACTAAAGAAATGATAACATAATTAAGACTTTGACTTTAAACAGTTCTTCAAACATAATATCAGGAAAGATGTCCATGTCTATACTGAAAAGAGCGATAACGATAACTTGCGAAATTTATTTTCCTGGTTTTCTTTAATAGAAAGATTTTATAAATTACAATCGACAGTAGCACAGGCTTTTCGGCTTGGTTTGGTTTGGTTTAGTTTGGTCTGGTCTGGTCTGGTTTCGTTTCGTTTCGTTTGGTCTGGTTTGGTCTGGTTTGGTCTGTTTTGTTTTAGGCCATATCAGCATCAATGGGATATTTAATGCCGACAAGATTTTTATTGCTGGTAATATTTTTTCCCGAAAATGTATTGCTGTAAATATTTTTTTCCAAATATTTTTTCAAAAATCATCCATTTGATGCAAGTAAAGGCTCGAGTAAAAAACTGATAAAAGTGTTCGTCGAAAACATTTTTTAGATCAAAATCTGTGGAATATTGAATAAAATGTCACTGTACTTCATTTTTATTTTTTATTTTTTGGTTGCTTTAGTTTGATTTGCTTTATGGCATATCAACTTCAATGTGTAATTTAATCCCGACAAGTTTTTTATTTCTGATAATATTTTCTTCCTTCAAAAATGTATTGCTGGTACTATTTCTTTCTTAAAAATGTTTTGCATGTAATAATTTTTCATCAAAAAATTATTGCTGGTATTAAAACCTATTTTTACACTTTCAGTGTGTTTTGACCCCGGTATGGGGGTTAACTATTTGTCCATAGTTGGGACACTAACAGTGCTACCACCCCGGGTAATGGTGGACCTTGAAACATCCGTAATTAGGAAGTGGTTCCACGTTCCTCAAAACCTCCTGATCAGAGTCCTTACTGTCGGGTGTAGTTTATCGTCTTACCCAGGACGGGGATGTAGCTTATCGTCTTTCCCATGACGCAGATGTAGTTTATCGTCTTACCCAGGACGCAGATGTAGTTTATCGTCTTACCTAAGACGGGGGTGTAGTTTATCGTCTTACCCAGGACGCGGATGTAGTTTATCGTCTTACCCAGCAAGAGGATGTAGTTTATCGTCTTACCCAGGACGCGGATGTAGCTTATCGTCTTACCCATGACGCGGATGTAGTTTATCGTCTTACCTAGGACGCGGACGTAGTTTATCGTCTTACCCAGAACGCGGATGTCGCTTATCGTCTTACCCATGACGCGGATGTAGTTTATCGTCTTACCTAGAACGCGGACGTAGTTTATCGTCTTACCCAGAACGCGGATGTCGTTTATCGTCTTACCCAGGACGCGGATGTAGTTTATCGTCTTACCCAAGACGCGGACGTAGTTTATCGTCCTACCCAGAACGCGGATGTCGCTTATAGTTTTACCCAGGTTGAGGATGTAATTTATCGTCTTAGCCAGGATGTCTGGCTTTTCGGTCAATAAATTTGTTTATCATGAAATGATTGATATTACCATTACTTATAACATTTGACGTTTCTGATATTTTTCTTAAAAAGATGCAAAATGTGTTTTACAATCAGAAAACTTTCCTATATTGTTTGTGCTTTGAAGCTTTCAAAGACATTCATTCAAAATGATATGCCAGTGAATAAGAACATTCGAAAAGTTCTTTTCTCTTTCACTCCGACTATTCCTCTCGCTCATTTGATTACGTTCTCACTTTTTTGTTTTGTTTTATATCCTCTTCTCTTTTTTTTTTATTCTTTTATCTTTAATTTGTTTCCCTCTGTTTCCATTTCCTTTATTTCCGGTTCCGTAATAACAGACACACATTCAACAGGAATCGTGATTAAATGAGTGACAGATTTCGAGGAGAAATTGAAACTGTATACGACGGTATTACTTTGCCCAGCGTCAATACAGCGGAAGATGCTTGGAGATCTGAAGGGATTTGACATCACTCAGTTGTCACCGATGACAACCAGACATTTTATGTGGACATTAACTATACAATAATAATAATAATAATAATAATAATAATAATAATGGGATCTCATGACCAATGCGACCATGAAATGTTCTACAGAAACAAAAAAGCAGGCATTATGTTGATTGAAAAAAAAAGCAAAACTATTTATTCTTATATAACGATTTACTAAGCGTAGCTTAGACATGGCACAAGGCCAAGAACATGAAGCACCCAATGAGCAGTAATTGGTCTAGGGAGACAAGCTTGCTAGCCATTGCCCCACATCAAAGTGCTCTATGCGTCCTAATTTATACCGCATGTCACGGAGACAACAGAGGAGTCAAAAAAGAAAAATAACAGGTAAACTATGATAGTTGTTTTTAATCAATTCACCCCAAGCAAGGGGATAATGCCACAAAGACGCAAGAGATTGAAAGAGAATGAGAAAAATTAAAAAGGAACCAGAAACCCGATCCTAAACAGGAAACAAGAGACAAAATTCTACTGCTCTTCAAAGGACCCGCGCTGGGGGTGAACCGGACGATAGGCGAACCTATCTACTCCTATTGAGGAAAAAATAGATAGTAAATAAGATTTCATAGTTTATGCGGAGACGTCAGAAGTATAGTTTTTTCCAAATATTTACTCAGCTGAGTGTAGTTTGACACAGGGTCCTGATAATGAGGTTCGATGTCACTGTACGAGTTATTGTCCTTTAAAATTAGCATTTGATTGGTTTGCTTTCTTTTCTTTTACGGCATATCAATCTCAATGCGTTATTTAAGGCCGACAAGATTTTTATTGCTGGTAATTTTTTTTTTCATAAATGTATTTCTGGTATTAAAATGTATTTTTATACATTCATAGTGTTTTGACCACTTTTGTGGGGGATAACTACTTGCTTATAGCTGGGATCCTGACTATCCCGGGTCAGGGTGGATCTGGGAACACCATCAATTAAGAGGTGGTTACACACTCCTCAAAACCTCCTGATCAGAGACCTTGCTGCCGGATGTAGTTAATCGTTTGACCCAAGACGACATTACAAATTGTATAGCCTTTTTTTCTAATTGATATAGTATGGTATTTAATAAATGCATAGATTTTACATATAAGGAAATGGCTAATATTACCATTATGGGACATTTGTATAAATGAGAGCTATGTTGGTTTGGCTTATTGTTTTACGTTATATTAAACACAATCGGTTATTTAATGACAGGATTTTAAGGATAAGTTAGTATGAATAGAATATGTATACACTGTTAGTAAAAAAAAATCTTCAAAATTTATTGCTGGTACTTCTATAAAAATACATGTTTATAACTTCATAATGCTTTGACCCTAGTTTGAGCTATTTGACCATAGCTTGGACCCAAACAGGTGGACCTGGGAACAACAGCAATTAAGAGGTGTTTCCATGTTCCTCAAAACCTCCCAATCAGAGGCACTGCTGCCGGATGTAGTTTATCGTCATACCCAGGACGGACGCGCATTTGAGAATATATGTACTCAGCTTGGTTTAGTCTGGCACAAGGTTGTAATAATCGTTCACTCAATGAAGACTGAGCTCACAAATGATAACGATCTGTAAGAATAGCTGGTTAACCAACACCCAATGCAGAATGAAGTTAATCTTAATAAATATTGAAAAGATATAAGTTGTAGTATCGGAAAGTTGGATGTCAGCGTAGCCTGGGGATTATCGACGTGAGATTTATGAGTTTAAATTTCAACCGAGGCCAATGCATTCACTTTCACCCTTACTAAATCATCACAAAATTAGAGCGTTACTAATAACCCTCTAATTTGAGTGGCTTTTGGACTCTGTACTGGGCAATAATAAAAAATAACCTTGGAAACTTATGAATCAGCGACTTCTATCACCTGCTAAGCTTTAATAAAATGGCAGACTTGGCTCTTTAGCTATGGCTAGCAGCCAGTCTAGGAGAAGGCCAACTATGAATTCGAAATAGGTGAGGAGTCGTACTGGTGACCTGATTCCAGAAAAAATCTATTTCTACAGAAATATAAGCAACAAGTCATAGCGCGGTGAGGCTGTGGCTTTATACTCAATAAATGAAACTACTATTACTACTTCAGTTGGAGATTCCTCTCCTGTTTTGCTGGTCAAACTCAAACAGAGGGCAGAGAGCATCCCCAGACGAGGCTCTGTCGACGGGCAGTATCTCGTCTCGGGAAACTGTTACCCGACCCCGGTTTATAAGGCCGATCCTACGGGCTCAGACACCCCACATTAAATTCGGCCTTGTGCCACATCTGACTGCGTGCGTGGGGCGGTTGGTAGTTATCTTGCAGCTGCTTGTACTAATTCCGAAAAATCCCGGATTCTACATGCTATCGATGAACGGAATTGCGCGGATATCCGACACTCATTGTTACCAAATCTGCTGAATTAGTCTGCCAATAGTACTTGATTTCTAATCCAGCTCAGCTATTAGGCGAAGTTTATAAGATTGTGTTGGAGCAGCTTTGAACTCTTT